GCGTGAGTTTGCCAGAGACAGAGAGACAGAAAGCAAGAATTCACCTCTCAGTGGGGATGGCCATGCAGAGCAACCCCTTCTCCTCCATTCTCCTCTTGGGATTTTGGGCGCCTGTACACACGTACCCAGCATGAGTTTTAAGCCTCTGGTTCTGGGACTCAAACCGCAGTCGACTACATGGGAGTCCAGCGATGTAGCCACTATGCCATCTGCTTGTCCCATTTGCCCACTTTCTAATAAAATGTTTGGGTTTTTTTTTGCTGCTGAGTTGTTTGGCAAGTAATTGTGACATGATCATACCCCACTGGGTGGTGCTTTCTCCCTCTCTCTCTCTGCTTCTCTGGTGAGTGCATGTACTCAAGGGCAATTAAAAAAAAAAAAAAGATCATTTCACCTACAAATTGGGACAATTAAATACCCATCTTTCCAATTTGGATGCTGATATTTCATTTCCTTTTATCACTGAATAATCTTCCCTTATATGGATACATTCTAATGCTTTACTCATTTGTTAGTTGATGGGCATGTGGGGCGTCACCATTTTTTTGTGCATTAAGAACAATGGACAAAATATACACATACAAGTTTATGTGGATGTTTGTTTTACTTCTCTTGGGTATATTCGTAAGAGTGCAATTTCTGGGTCATATTGTAATTATATGTTTAAGTATTTACTAGACTTTTTTCCCAAGTGGCTATACCATTTTACATTCCAACAGCATATAAGGCTTTGAATTTCTCTACCTCCTTGTTCTATTTGTTTGCTAGGCTGCTTACACTTCACGAATTCATTATCTGCATTATTGGAGATAAATGATCTCACAACCTGCTACAACATCAAATCAAATTAAGTGCTCAAAAACCGATGACTGGGTTGAAAAACTATGGCACATATATACTATGGAATATTCCACAGCTTTAAGATTTGAGATCCTATCATTTGATTCAAAATGGATGAATAAAGACTCGCTGTTGAGTTAAGTGAGTCAGACTTTGAAAGATACACATTGTGTATCCCTACTTAATTTGTACTGAGTGTCTGCACTTTATGGCAGAGGTTGAGAGACTTAAAGATATGATGGTGGAGAGGATGGGTGTTGGATGCTAGAGTGGGTAAGGGAGGAAAGCGAGTGATAAAAAGTGGGTGGTATATGGTGGGTATGAGAAAAATAAATTTTTTTTTTTTTTGGGAGAGGTTTTTTGCTATAGGGCGCGTGCGCTCGCCAGACAGACAGAGAGAGACAGAGAGATAGAAAGCAGGAAATCACCCCCCAGGGGGGATGGCCACGCCACAATCCCTTCTCCTCCATTCTCCTCTCGGGATCTTGGGCACGCACGCACACGCGCCCGGCGTGAGTTTATGCCCCCGAGGGTCCAGGACTCGAACCGCGTTCGACTACGTGGGAGTCCAGCGACATAGCCATTACGCTAACTGCTGGTCCCAGAAAAATAAATTTTTAGGACAGTTATGTCTGTTTAAAAGTGTTATTTGTCTGTTAAACTAGTCTGCAGATTGTTTCATGAATGCTTTATCAAATTATGAAAGTTTAAGTGCAATAATGTTTGAAGATTATAAATGATAAACTTATGTTTAAAAGGAGAAAACAGGGATCAGCAGTTAGCGTAATGGCTATGCTGCTGAACTCCCATGTAGTCGACCGTGGTTGGAGTCCCAGACCCAGCAGCTTAAACTCATGCCAGGAGCGTGTGCGTGCATGCCCAAGATCCCGAGAGGAGAATGGAGGAGAAGAGATTGCGGCATGGCCATCCACCCTGGGGAGTGATTTTTCGCTTTCTCTGTCTTTCTGGCAAGTGCACGCACCCTATAGCAAAAACCTCTAAAAAAAAAAAAAAAAAAAAACAAAAAAAATCAAAACTTTTTCTTTGTATTGTCTAGAAGTAGTTCACTCTAGTGTGTATCTGTTAATTTACCTGTCATCAAAAGAGCACCCGGCCTAAGAGAAAGGACTGGTAAGTGTGCAAAATGTTCCCAATCTTCTGTTAAATTGTAGTTTATCATTAGCCTGTATCTGTAAGTTATGTTTAATTACCTGCACTTTTTCCTTATGTACAACTTTATAAAATAAATAAATAATGCACAGAAAAGTTTAGTTACTCTAGTTCTAGAGACTAGAAGTTCAAGATCAAGGTATTATTTAGGTTTGGTTTCTCCCAAGATCTCTTGCCTTGGTTTTGCAAATGGCCACTTTCTCACTGTGTCCTCACATAGCCTTTTTTCTGTAGGCATATATTCCTGGTGCTTCTTCCATCTTATGGAGATGCCATTCATATCAGATTAGGGTCTCACCCTTATGATCTCATTTAACAGTGAGAGGTAACATTTAGAGGTAACTCTAAGGTCTCCCCCGTCAAATACAATTACAATGGGGATTAGAAAATCAACATACAAATTTTAGGGAGGGATAAGTCTACCCTTAACACTTCCCAACACTTATTATCTGACTTTTTTTTTCCTGGCCAGAGGATGCATGTGATCACTGGAGATAGAGAGAGATAGAGAGAAAGAGAGAGAGAGAGAAGAAAGAAAGCACTCCCCATGGAGAATGGTCACACCATAATCCTTTCTCCTCCATTTCTTCCTCCTTTCAGGATTTTGAGCATGCATGACAAGTGCCTGACATATTTTTCAAGTTACCAGGTCCAAGACTTGAAAGGTACAGTCTGCCAGGTGGGATCCAGCTGCTTTAACTACCATGCCATACCATGCCACACGCTGGACCTTGACGTTCTCATTGGTAGTTGACGTGGTATGGTAACTCACATCTTGGTCAGAATTACACTTCCTTGATTGCTACTAATGTGGACCACCTTTTCATGTGCTTATTGGCATTGATACATGTCCATCAAAGACTTGTCTCTTCATATCATCTGCTCTGATTTTTTGTGATAGCTATATACTGTTCTTGTATATTATCTGCATTACAGAACTACCACAGATATCAAACATACTGCAAGCAATTTTTCTAAATCTTTGGGGGTGGTTATAGCCTTTCAAAGATTAAAATAAAACAAAAATCCCTAGAAACAAAAACATCATTAATGTGACCACATGAAAATAAAAAAATGATTCATTGAAAATACAGAAAACAAAGCCAAAAGACAAGAGATGGGTAAAATAGACAACTTATTCACAATGGACTAATTTCATTACATATATCTGTATTTTCTTTTTTAATGAAAAAAAAGCAAATAACTGAATAAAAAAATAGGTAAACGACATAAGCAGACAGTTAACAGAAAAGACTAAAGCGTGAGGCAAGCCATGCCTCCTGGGGGGTGGGCAGTTCTCCCGCACTTTCTCTCTCCCCTGCCTCCCTTTCTCTGTCTTTGGCCAGTGCATGTGCCCTCTGACAATTAAAAAAAAAAAAAGGAAATTTAAAAACTAAGTTTGATAACATACTGTGTAGAGAGAGGCACTGAATCAGGCACCCTGATAAATTGCCGTGGGAGCATAAACTGAAAGAAACTATACAGAAAGCAATTTGGCAACATTTATCAATTCTTTTTAAAGTACTTTACAGTCCAGCATGCCACACCCAGATAAACAGTCTAGACATGTTTCTGTTCACATGCCAAGCAGCTATAAATAAGAATACTGATCGCAGCACTGTTTGTAATAGAAAAAGAATAAAAATAAAACAGCCTGATAGAATACTATACAACCGTTATAAAGAATGAAAGCTGTCCAAGGTACAGCTGTAAGTGAAGAAAAGCAGGGTACTAAAACAGTGGGAGTACACACATTTTTTAAATAATTATTTTATTTAACTTTATTTATTTATTTTAATTTGACCAGAGATGGGCAGAGTGTAACAAAGAGAGAGAGAAAGCAAGAAAGCAAGCTGCCAGGTCCAGGACTCAAACCACTGTCGGCCACATGGGAGTCCAGTGTCCTTAACCACCATGCCACCTGCTGGCCCCCAGAGTATATGCATTTGTAGACACAAGAGAGAAAGAGATACTGGGGGAATAGTGTGTGAAAAAAACATTAAATAAAAAAAATAAGAACGTCTTTGAAAGAATATGCAAGAAATTGGCTAACAGTGGTAGCCCTAAGAGGAATGAAAACTCAGAGATTAGTGGAGGGCAATAGAGGATGGAAACTTTCTTTTCACACAATATGTTTTTGACGCTATTGAAAATTTTAACCATGTCACACACAAGATCTAGTTGTCTACACAAAGAAAAAAAAGAGAAGAAAATGATGGTGGATTCTTCTCCACTGTGAATCAGGGCCACCAGCATTTTAGCTGGTCTGGCTGAATCTCCTTGTCCTGTCCCTCCCCACCTCCCGCCCAGCCATCACAACATGCCTTCCGACACTGAAATGCGCCTTAAGTGGGTTCCCCTAGACACCTGTTTCCATATCTGCCCACCCACTCGACAGAGATTCTCAAAAGTGGGGGCTGGTTCTCACTCCCGCGCGTCTCCAAGCGGTTTGGCTGGCCCTCAAGCGTCCTGTAAACAGTGAACGAAAAGGGAGAGAAAGACCTTGAAAAATCCGACGCGTGTCCCTACCGTCTTTGGGTGTTACAGACCTTTTATATGCAGAACGTGCTCCCACCTGGACTGCGCTTCATCAGAGGGCGAGAAAAAACGCGGAGTTTCGGGCGTAGCTGCTCCTCCAGTGAACTGATTTTTGACAAGGGGTACCAGTCAATCCAGTGGGAAAAGGAAAACCTCTTCAGCAAATGGTGCTGGAAAAACTGGATTTTCACCCATAGAAAGATGAATCTGAACCCCCTGCTTCCCGCGCTCCGGACCCATTGGCTGGCCTCGGGTGTGGGCGGGGTCCCCTCCGAGAGCTTCGAGCTGCGGGGCCGAAGGGGCAGCGTGCGGGGTGAGCCGAGAGCTGCGCTGGTGCTGTACGCACACCGCCGGCGATGCCCCGGGACCGCGTTCCTGCCGGGACGACCACCCGGGCAGCAACTCCGGCCGCGGCGCCGACCCTATTCTCCTCGCCTGCTGGGACGCCGCGGGTTTCGGACCCGCTGAAGCGGTGAGCGGCTCTTTCGCCCCCTGTGGTCCCTGCCCTCGCCGGTGCTCAGGGACGGTTGGCAATGGGTGGGCAGGAAGGGTACCGGCGGCAGGGTGCCGCGCTCGGCCTCCCGCGTCGTGGAGATCGGGTCCCCGGTGACTGTCACTCCCCAGTCTGCCAGTCTTTAGCGCTTCGCAAGTTGCGTGTGCCGATGTCGGTCAGCGAATGGCCGCAGAACGCCTGGCGGTGCCAGCGCCCTCCGGACACTGGCCCGCGGCCAGGCAGTCGCGGCAACTCCTGCGAGTGTGCGGAAGCGAATGCTCTTTAAGCGAATGATTTGCAGGGGGCCTGGGAGCGGCGGGGGGGGGGGGGGGGGCACAGCACCCGTGGT